ATTTTATGTATGTTTTTTTATTTAAATTAGAAACATGCATGCTTCAAATGTCAATGCTGGCTCCCCCCTTCTCCTTCCACCAGCCCCACCCCACCTCACGCACCATTATCCCACTCCCCACATCATTCCCCAGCGAGGGTAAGGCCCTTCTGGAGGGATCTCCAGAGTCTGTCATTGCATCCATGGGTGGACCTAGAGCATCTCTCCATGTGCAATGGGCTCCCAAAGTTCATTTTTTGCCATGGCGAACAATAGTCTACTACCCAAAGCCCCAGAGATTTCTGAGGCCTCCTCACTGACACTACATTCATGGAGTCTGGATCAGTCCACTGTTGGCCTCTTAGTCATCAGTCTGTGGTTCAAGAGCTCCGTCTTGTCCAATCAGCTGTCTTTGTGAGTTTCACAAGCATGGTCTTGACCGCCTTGCTCATCACTCCTCCATCTCTGTTACTGGCTTACAGGGGGTCAGTTCAGTGTTTAGTTGTGAGTATCTGTCTCTGCTTCCATCAGTCACAGGATGAAGGTTCTACGATGTCACATAAGGTAGTCACCAACCTTATCATCAGGTAGGGGCCGTTAATGTAGTCTCTCTGCTATTATGTAGTTTTCCAGTTGGTGCAATCCTTGTACATCACTGGGAATTTCACTAGTGTTAACTCTCTCCTCAAAGCTAAAATGACTCCAACTATTACGGTATCTCTCATCCTGGTCTCCTCTATTCTTACACCAACTCAGCCTTCCTGCTCCCCCATGTCTTCTTACCCTCCTCTTATCCCCCTCTCTTTTTCCTGGTTCCCTCTCTTCTCCCCCCATTCCCCCCATGTTCCCAATCTGCTCAGGAGATCTTGCTTCTTTCCACTTCTCTGGAGTATCGTGCATATCTCTTGAAAACCTCCCTGTTTCCCAGACTCACTGGCCCTGAGATTATAGGCTGACACTCCCCTGATCCATGTCTAAAATCCAGATATGAGTGAGTACATACCATGTTTGTCTTTTGTGACTAGGTTAATCCACTCAGGATGGTTTCTTCTAGTGCCATCCATTTGCCTACAAATTTCAAGATTCCATTTTTTTCCGCTGAGTAGTATCCCATTGTGTAAATGTACCACATTTTCTCAATCAACTCTTCAGTTGTGGGGCATCTAGGTTGCTTCCAGGATCTACCAATTACAAATAATGTTGCTATGAACATAGTGAACAGACATCCTTGTTGTATGAATGGGCATCTTTTGGGTATATGCCTAAGAGTGGAATTGCTGGGTCTTGTAGTAAGTGATTCTCATTTTCCTGAGGAATCCCCATACTGATTTCCAAAGTGGCTGTACAAGTTGGCACTCCTACCAGCAATGGGCGAGTGTTCCCCTTTCTCCACATCTTCTCCAGCATAAGCTGTCATTGGTGTTTTTAATTTTGACATTCTGACAGGAGTAAGATGATATCTCAGGGTTGTTTTGATTTTCATTTCCATAATGTCTAAGGATGTTGAGCACTTTTTCAAGTGTCTCTCAGCCATTTTAGTCTCTTCTATTGAGGAATCTCTATTTAGTTCAGTCCTCCACTTTTTAATTGAGTCCTTTTGTGTTTTGGAGAATAGCTTCTTGAGTTCTTTGTAAATTTTGGAGATGAGTCCTCTGTCAGATGTGGGGTTAGTGAATATCTTTTCCAAATCTGTGGGTTGCCTTTTTGTCCTGCTGACTGTGTCCTTTGCTTTACAGAACCTACTCAGTTTCAGGAGGTCCCATTTATTAATTGTTGATCTCAGTGTTTGTGCTACTGGTGTTATGTTCAGGAAGTGGTCTCTTCATTCAAGGGTACTTCCCACTTTCCCTTCTAACAGGTTCAGTGTGGCTGGATTTATGTTGAGGTCTTTGGTCCATTTGGACTTAAGTTTTGTGCATGACGATAGATATGGATCTATTTGCCGTCTTCTATATGCCAATATCCAGTTATGCTAGCACCATTTGTTGAAGATGCTATCTTTTTCCATTGTATAATTTTAGCTTCTATGTCAAAAATCAGCTGTTCATAGGTTTGTGGATTAATCTCAGAGTGGTCAATTAGATTTCACTCATCTACCTGTCTATTTTTGTGCAAATACCAAGCTGTTTTCAGGACTATAGCTGTATAATACAGCTTGAAGTCAGGAATGGTGATACCTCCAGATGTTGCTTTGTTGAGCAGGGTTGTCTTGGCTATCCTAGGTCTTTTGTTTTGCCCATATAAAGTTGAGAATTGTTTTTTCAAGGTCTGTGAAGAATTGTGCTGGGATTTTGATGGGGATTGCATTGAGTCTGTAGATTGCTTTTGACAGGATTGCCATTTTTACTACATTGATCCTACCTATCCAAGGGCATGGGAAATCTTTCCGTTTTCTGGTGTCTTCTTTAATTTCTTTCTTTAAAGACTCAAAGTTCTTGTGACACAGGTCTTTCACTTGTTTGGATAGCGTTACCCTAAGGTATTTTATCTTGTGTGTGGCAGTTGTAAAGGGTGATGTTTCTCTGATTTCTTTCTTAGCCCTCTTATCTGCTGTATATAGTAGGACTACTGATTTTCTTGAGTTGATCTTGTATACTGCCACTTTGCTTAAGGTGTTAATCAACTGTAAGTGTTCCCTGGTTGAGTTCTTTGGGTCACTTATGTAAACTATCATATCATCTGCAGAAAGTGAAAGTTTTACCTCTTCCCTTCCAATTTGTATCCCCTTGACATCCTTTTGTTGTCTTATTGCTCTAGCTAGAACTTCGAGTACAATACTGAAGAGGTATGGGGAAAGGGGACAGCCTTGTCTTGTTCCTGATTTTAGCAGAATCATCTTGCGTTTCTGTCCACTTAGTTTGATGTTGGCTATTGGTTTGCTGCATATAGCTTTTATTATGTTTAGGTATGTTCCTGTTATCCCAGATCTCTCCAAGACCTTTACCATGAAGAGGTGTTGGATTTTGTCACAGGCTTTGTCAGTATCTAGTGAGATGATCATGTGATTTTTGTTCCTTAACTTGTTTATATGGTGGATTACATTGAAAGATTTTCATATGTTGAACCAACCAGTCCTGCATCCCTGGAACGAGGCCTACTTGATCATGGTGGATGAGCTTTCTGATGTGTTCTTGGATCCTATTTGCCAGTATTTTATTGAGTATTTTTGCATCAATATTTATGAGGGATATTGGTCTGAAGTTCTCTTTCTTAGTTGTGTCTCTGTGTGGCTTGGGCATCAATGTTATTGAAGCCTCATAAAAAGAATTTGGCAAAGACCCTTATGCTTCTATTGCATGGAATACTTTGAGGAGAAATGGTATAAGCTATTCTTTGAATTTCTGGTAGAATTATGCACTGAAGGTATTATGAATTTTTTACTATAATGTGACTTTAATGTATGATGAATTCTGGGGTTACATAAATTCTGAAATCATCATTTCTCCAAACAAAATTAATATATTTAGATAAAAGATGTAGGGAAAGTATACAATATGAAAAACTATTTGTTAAACAATTTTTTTCCTTTTGAGATTCTAAGTTGTCTAACTATTGTTTAAAAATCTTTCCTCTGAACTTTTACTTAGGGTGTTTGCATGTGTGTGTGTATGTGCGTATGTATCCTCACATACATATATTCTAAACTCTGAAACTAGAAATGACTGGATTTCCTCTTGATAAATTTGCACTCTTTGGTACTATCTCTGATTTCAAACATCTGGCGTCCACAGATACGGTAGATGGACAATTAAAGCTAAATACAGAGAGGATGATTCAATCAATGGAACCACACACTTTGACGTCAAAGAACACGGTAATCTTCCATATAGATTGGTTTATAAAAGGTTAGTTTTCCCTGGTAATTCTTTTCAGTAATGGAGCTGATGCAAACCCTTCCCAGGTGGGGATGAGGCTCCGGGCCAGGGTGATGGGAAGTCCTGGTTGGGATAGCACTGGGGAGTCAGTGCTTGTTAGAAGTTGTAGGAGGCTACAATGATGTAGAACAGAATGCTGTCAGGGAGCTGTTTTAAAAAGATTTTATGCCTTTCCCACACCCTTCTCTCTCTCACAGATAAAGCTTACAAAACAACTCTCATGCCAATACCTGATCTGCAGCACCAAGTGGGAATTCCAGGTACTGGAATGCTTCGGTGGCTGTTTAGGAGCCTGGGGTAATCTGTAGGTCATGTTCATACTAGAAGGGGTGCAGTTCATACTAGAAGGGTGCAGCCTGGCATAGGGAGGTTCTTTCTACCTTTATGATGTTAGGAAAAATAAACCATTTGTGTTGAGTCACACAACTATGTAAACAAAGGATTATCTCTACGTTGACCAGTGCATTATGGGTGACATCCAAGGGACAAGATCTGCTTTTATGTAACATGACAACAATGTGACACTGAACATTCTTCCCTATTCCATTCTCTTCTTCACAGATGCAGCCCAAGGTGTGAATCTCCAGCCAGAACATTACCTGGAACAGAAAATAGAGGAACAAGGTACTCCACAAGCTGTTAACCACTGTGATTGTAGCATTCACAGACCAGAGAACATAAGACTTTGTCTCTCCCTAATTAACAAGCAGCAGGTGGGGGAATGATGCATGTGGGGTTGAGTTCATCACTCAGAAATGTTCAGTCTGTAAACTCAGGATTTTATCGGCCACATCCTTAACCTGAGGAAAACAGTTCTTTGTTATTTTCATGCCTAAACTATGTACAATATATGTTTTCCCCAAATATGTATCTGGTGAGGAAGTCCTTTGATGGCAGAGAAACAGTCCTTGAGGTCCCTACAAGGTGTTTGGCTGTTGGTGATGAGAACTTGTCATTACATCCTTTCAGCCTCTACATACAAATATCCATTGCTAAAGAAGTGTTGTTATGACGGAGCTGCACTCAATAGATATGGAACCTGTGAGCAACGAGCTGAACGTGTGAAAATAGGTCCCCGCTGTGTCAAAGCCTTCACTACCTGCTGTACCCTGGCACATGAGATCAGAGATGAACACACCTTTAAAGAAACATACTTGTTATCGCCCCCCAGTAAGTATGGTATTTTCTATCAGAACCCTTCCAGATCTGTGTAACTTTGTGTCAGTAAAGTTCTGTAAGAGGAGCAGTTTTCAGGTCCCAGTTACTGGTAGGAGTTGAAAGGCAGATAACTGTAATGCCCAGAGGAAAAGCCCTTGTGCTTTTGGGAAATGGAACCCCCCCCCACAGTACACAGCAGGGAACAAGAGACCAAAGCCAAGCTCAGCTGCTGCTGCAGACTCCAAGGAGAGTTCACCCCAAGCCTCACACAAGTACCTGAGATTAAGTGTGTCCCGTCAGCACCCGGATGAGAAAATGTGATCATTCTGTCACATTGCAGTCACCAAAAGTTGAAGTCTTACTTGGGTGGTAGTATTATTAGATGATACAAGATAAAGGAATTTCTTAAATTAAAAGCTGTAAGCATCATTAAGAATACAGTATTAATTAATATTATTTATTATTATTGGCTTCACACTTTTCATCTGAGCCCTGTAATAGCCTTATAAAGGAAATAGTTTTTCTAATTTTATTTTATTGTGTTGTATGTACAGGTATGCATGCTTGTATGTATATGTATATGATGTGTTGGCGTAGGTGTGTGCAATACACATATAAAGGTGCAGCCATAATAGTGGACGAAGATCTAGGTGTCTTCCTGAAATATTCCCCACTTTGCATTTTTGAGACAGGGTTTGTCACTGAGCCTGGAGCTCCTTGATTGTCTAGGCCACCTGGACAGTGACCTCCAAGGACTCTTGTGCCCCTGCCTCTCTAGTGCTGGGAATGCAGATGAGAACAGCTGTGCCCACATTTGCATAGGCATTAGAAATCCAAACACAGGTCCCTATCAAGCATAGCACTTTACTGAGTGTCTCCCAGATACTATTGTCTCTACCTTGAAGAGGGCACTGAAAAGAAATTAGGGATTATTTAGGGCCATTAAAGGCACGTTGAAGCCCATAGACTTCTCTTCTATGACTAGTATGATTTTTTCAATTTTAATACAAATTCACGAATATTTTACTTAGTAAATGAAGAGATTATCTCACTGTATTGAATGTGTAACGAGAAGAGGGTGCTCACGGCACTGTTGCTGCCACACACAATGCTGGCATGCTGCCCAGGGAGAGCTGAAGACCCGAAGCACACACTGCTGAGTGCCACCGTGCTGCCCAGATGCTCAGATGTCTGAACCTCTACGTGGAATCAACACGGATGACCAGTTTGCCAACAGAGCCCGAAGCCTCTAAAATGATAATCATAATCAGAATATTTAAATCAATAAACTACTATTACCCAGGTGGAGAGATTTTCAATGATGAAGTTTTTCCCATGGTGCTTACATCTCACCTGTCTATTTATATCCCTTGGACATTTTTCCATACCAGGCAATTTATTTCTATTCTAGCTTTTATTTTCTCTGAAATTATTGATGCCAGGACCAATTCCTTGCATGTAGCTATTATTTTAAGACAGATTCAATTTTTGTTTGTTTTTCATTTAATTTTTGCACTTTAGGGACTTCTGTTGTTAGTAGTATTATTTTGTTGACTACAATTAATTCATAAATATAGACTGGAGTGTGTAGACGTGAGAATTTTCAAGGTTTGGTGGGGTGGAGTGCCTGTTAGTCTTAAGAACTCAGCTAAAAAGTCCCTGGTTTAATCCCTTGCAATAATAAAGAACTTCAAGATTTAATACTTCTACCATTTTGATTATAACATACGCAGTTCTAAATGAGTCTTTCAGAACCCTAGAAAGCATTAGTGTGCTTTTCCAACAAGGAAGACGCTACCAAACTATCCTCAGAGGCATTACCTGATTCTTTTGCATAGCAGGCTAAGTTCACATGATAGTAATAACTTCTGCACTTCACTTTCTCCATTTTGTGTTTTGGATTAGAGCAGAAGTAAAATACCATAACTTTAATATTTTTCAAACTCTCTATGTACTGCTTGGAGACAAATGAGTGCATACTTTATATCTTATATTCCATGGCAATAAGGACACAGCACCAATATGCTCATCAGGGGCTTCTATGAGCAGTCAGAAAACCTTCCCTTTGTCCTAGACAGTCCCTGGTGACTCTGGGTGACAAGATGTAGTAAGTCTCCTAGAAGAACTCTCTCTTGGTGACCCTCAGTGGAAGGAAACACTTCATACGAAGAAGCTCACATTATCCAACACTAATTCACACAGTGTTGTCTGCCTTTCCCTCCTATCCACTCCCCTTTAAGAGAGAGAATTCTCCTTCAAAGCCAGGTGCTTTTCTATAAAACCTCACCCTCTTCCCTTCTCTAGGACACTCAATGTCCCTCTGTCCTCAACCTTTGCCTCAAAGTTAAAGTCAGTCATTTTCGGTGACATATGCATTGTGCACTGACAGCCTTCAAAGTGTGGCAGGAAGCAATGGGGTCATAGCAGGGAAATAGACAAATTTTCCCCACTGCATGGAGCTTATATCTGTGGTGCATAGATCTTAAGGCTTTGTTTTTAGATGTACTACAGAGCTACAGCAACACATACAGAGACAACCAACAACATAGCATGATCCCAGCACAAAACACATATAGAAACAATGGAATAGAGGACACAGGAATGAGGGCATGACTGCAGACGTCTGATCCTAGACAAAAGCTCCAAAGTATATGTTGGAGAAGACAGCCTCATTAACAAAAGGTATGGAAGAGCCATATGCCCACGTGGAAGAATGAAAAGAGATCCCTGTCTTTCACCTTGTAGAGAAATCAATTGGAAACACCAGTGAAACACATAGGGGGAAAATTTAATCTCTAGATATAGACAAGGAGTTTCTGAAAATTAGAGCAAGAGTTCAAAATGGACCTGCAAGACACGAAAACGCTGCACATCAGGCTGGGGAGACCACATGATGGGCACAAGCACCTGCTCTGTAAGCCTGAGGATCTACGTGTAGTCCTTAGCAAGAGGATGGGTTTTGTTGGTTCATGTTTTTTTTGTGTGTCTTGTTCTTGCTAGTGTTAAAGCCAGTGTGGTGATTTCAATGAAAATATTTCCCAAAGGCCCACAGGGAGGGACACTATGGGGATTGTAGCCTTATTTGAACAGGTGTGGTTTTCTTGTAGAAAGTGTGTCACCTTTGAGGTTTCAGATGCTCCAGCCAGGCTCAATGTGACTCTCTCTTCCTGCTGCCTGCTTATCCAGATGGAGAATTCTCAGCAACCTCTCCAGAACCATGCCCACCTGCTTTCAACCTTGTTTCCCACCGTGACGATAATGGGCTAAACCTGTGACCTGTAAGACAGCCCCAATTAAATGTCTTCCTTTGTAAGAGTCACACACACACACACACACACACACACACACACACACAGGCGCACTTTCTTTTCAAAAGATAACAAAACAATACTTGCAGAAAAATGGATGAAACAAGATTAACATGTTAAGCCACGTAAGCCAGTGTCAGAAAAACAAAGTAAAAGTCTGTTTTCTAAACATATTGAGACCAGTTCTTAGTTATTTTTCTGTCGCCAACACAAAGCACTGTGACCAAGACATCATGAAAGAAAAGATTTAATTTGGTGGATCATGATTTCAGAGGATTAGAGTCCCGGGCCATCATGGTGTGGAAGGTGACAGCAAGAAGGCGGGCATGGAGCTGGAGCAGTAGTAGAGCTCTGTCTGATCCTCAAGCACAAGCCAGAGAGAAAGGGACACAGCTACCTGGGGATGTCATGGGCTTTTGACAACTCAAGGCCAATCCACACTGACACACCTGGATCAACAAGGCCACACCTCCTTCTCCTTCCCAAACAGTTGTTGCACCAGCTTGGAACCAAACACTAGAATTTGTAGGAAAAATACTCATACACATAAAATAAAATTTAAAAAATAATCTATGGTGCTGGGCTTAGCATTTACACAAATGTAATCCTAACGTCTCAATAGACTGAGGCAGAGGGATCACAATCTCAAAACCTGCCTGGGGTTCATCCACATTTCCAGGCCAACATGACTGTACCATGAAAAATAAAAGACCCAGAGACAGATATTAGGGTTCAACCTGAAGATCAGTGAAGCTAAGCAGCCAGGCTACCAGAGAGCTTTTACTTCTAACAGCATGGGCATTCCTATTCTCACTGTAGCTGTAGAAGGAACGCCTCATCTTGAGATTGGCTGGAGAATCTGTGTCTGATACCTCCTGTCTTATGTACCTCCCTAATACTGGGTTTAAAGATGTGTGATCCCAGGTGCTGAGATCACTTTGAGTGAGCTGTTTCCTCGTAGGACTGAATAAATCTTGTGTAGATGTGGGTGGACTTGGTCTCACAGAGATCCATCTGCCTCTGGGGGCATGGAAATCAGGACTCACTAGACCCAGTATAAATGAAGCGGAGTTTATTTGGGGAAAAGAACTTACACAGGAAATAAGTGACTCCGTGTGCTCCTGCTCATGGATGTAGACCCTGCCACCAGGTTGATATCCGCAACCCGAAGGGGTCTTCCATCCCTGAGTTTTCCCTTCTAACTTGTCAAGTCAGTACCTGTGACCACACCTAAAAGGCATG